CCATCCGAGCTGGCAGCTTCCAGAGCCACTCTCTCACTTCAGAGCCCTCAGATTCTCCTCTGCCCAGCAGTCCTTGAAGGATAGCAATTACAGAGACAGAGGCCTTCACTGACACCATGCAATGACATTAGTCAGCAAAGCTTGCTTCAGAGGCCAGTGAGTTACAGAAGAAACAGTCAAAACCCACAATGATTCATCTATTTATTAGCTTACATCTTCTCCTTTTCCCTTCCCCGCCCTTACATCCAGCACCATATGCAACCCTGACAGTGACTTATGGGAAGAATCACAGAATCAACTAGGTTGGAAAAGACCTCTGAGATCACCTCTGACCTAACACCACCTTGTCTATTAAGCACCACATTCAGTCTCCTCTTCAATACCCCCAGGGCCAGTGACTCCACCATGTTCCTGGGCAGCCCATTCCAAAGCCCAATCACTCACTCTGTAAAGAGCCTCTTCCAAATGTCTAACCTAAGAAGCTGCAGCCTGGCATACCTGGAATAGGACATTACAGTCCATCCCACCTACCCTGCTGTTGTGCCATGATCTCTAGTTTGACCACAGGCACTGACAAGTCCTTTTTTCCCCCACAGGTATATTTTTCTCAAGTTTAGATCCACTCATATTGCCAAGGTCACCTGCAACACAAGTAACTTGGGCTTAAACCTCCTAGGTACCAAATAAAGTTACATTCTTGTCCAGCAAAAGCACATTCCCTGCAGGGCAGCATAATAAGTTATCAGAAATTGCTTCTGTTAAAAGGGGCCGCTATTAAACCTCGATGGATCAGTTACAGGACATGAAAAACACCTATGACTGCAAGCATCTGTTGTGCATTACAGAAGGCAAAGCCAACCACACAAGAAGTGCTCTCTCTGCTAACTGCAAGCCCCACAAGGAGCCTCAAGAGATTGGGGAGCAGGGTAGTGCCTTCAAAGGGCTTGCAGTCAGCAACAAACCATTAGTCCAAAAATAGACAATAATCTGATGTTAGTTAATAGCCAGGTTGTTTGTTTCCTGACACAAATGTGACCCAATAATTTCACTTCCCTCGGGCCTTCTCGTTTCTTAATATTTCACAAGTATCATGCACCACGTTTCTTGTATTTAAAAAAGACAAGAAACATAGTCCCATTAGATAGATCAAGCAGAACAATTTGTACAAAGTGTTGCTGACAGCAACTTTACTGTGTTAGGTAGCTAGGCACACACCCCCAAAAAAACCCACAAAGAAACAAACAAAACAGCAGAATGAAAAAACACCAAAGTACTGGAATTAGTTTTAACAAATTGAACTGCAGTCTGTCAAGCAAAGATCATTACTTGGGGGCAGGGGGCTCATTGCTACTGCCAAATATATGGACACACGGTCTAAACAAGTCCTCCAGATCTTCTACAAGATGATGAAAATAGAGAAACAGATTGCTCTGTGGGAATGGCTGCTCTACGGGCCTTAAGGAAAGACAACTGACTCTCTGAAAGGCTTCACCAGCCCCAACCATATTAGAGCTCATAAAAGAGGCAACAGATTGAGATAGAGGAAAAATGAGACCGAGAGGTGAAGATGCACTAATTTTAAAAATGGAAGCTATCTGATGATGTTGAAAACCGAACAGGGAGAAATGCAGCATGCTGTGATGATTGCAAGAGGCAGTCCCCAGTGTTCTAGCAGTAGGAAAGATTTCTGCAGCAAGTGATTTCACAAGCATCAGTGCAGTAGGTGACTAGCCCAGACTAGCTTCTCATAGGGGTGAACAGCTGCTGGAGACGTTTTTTAAAACCATGCTTCTATTAACACCGAAAGGGAAGCCACAGGCAGAAATAAGCAGTTTCCTAAAAGTCTGCTGAGTTTGGTAAGGCAATTCAGAAGCAAGTTAATGTACTTTAAGGAATACCCATGTGATTCGGGGGAAGCAAGCTTTCTAATAGCAAGTGGTCTGCCTGCTGTACTTCATTCCTCTGGTATTAGCACAACTGGTCACAATTTTCTACTCTTTTTCCCCTTATCACATAGGAAAAAATCTACTCATATTCTCCATACAAAGCTGGTAATCCCTGGTGCAGTACTTAGGGGTCAAATGCAAGCCAACAGAAGCACATCCTCATCTGTACATACTGCATTTTGCTTAGAAGCATGCGTCTTGCTGAGGCAGCTCAGCATAGAGAAAAAGCTATTGTGCACCAACTGATGTCCCTTGTCAGAAATGTCAGATGGTCAAAGTACAAAAACACTTTGTTCCTAAAAGGAGCTTTCCCATCCCTTTTCCTGAACCATGCCTACAGCACTGGGAACAGGCTTCTGCCCTCCTGAAACAAGCAGAAACAGATTTTTTTTCTTGTTGGCAGGAAAAAAATCCAAGCACAAGTGTTCTGCTAACCTCAACTTGCTCCTTACCACAGCCTGCATAACAACTGAAGAACACCACAGACTCATATGCCATTTCATCTGACATGACAGTGGACCAGCACATGTACCACAGTGAACTGTAGATTTACCATCTATTTAGTCTCTGGACTGTGGACAGACTTGGACCCTCATAGCAGATTAGCTTTAAAAAAGCACGGTTTTTTACCTGACAGTAGATGCCATGGAGGAAACAAACCACAGTCACTGTCCTCCCACTGTGCCTGCTACATGCCAACGTGTGTCCTCCCACATGCCAACATGTGGGATAGAAGCAGGCAAAACCAAAGAGCAACTTGGTATTCAGCTGGGATGCACAAACAGCCACCACTTTCTGCAGTTCCTGTGATCCAGCCCATCACAGAGACAACAAAAGTGGCGGCAGCATCATCATCATCCTGACTGAACACTGTGCAGACCCAAGGGCCCGTCCTCCCCCTGGCAAAGAGACAAGGGAGACTGCCTGGGAGATCCAGGGATGGAAGCTGAAGAGGAAGCTTAAGGCAGCTATTATGTTAACCACTGTTGTGAAAAAGGCCTCAGCCCATCAGAGACTGCAGCATCCTCTGACTCCACACAGCCAGGAAACTCCTCTCAGAAGAAAACCTGTGCACTTGATTCAAAACCCCAGGCAGTTTCAGACTCCCAGGCAGCAGCTGTGTATTTAGCACTTTCCACCCTTAACATGATTTTGGCAGGGAAAAGTCAGGGGCAACAACACGTATCTTGTCAGGTGCTCTTGCAGGTGCTGCTTGGAATGGCTGGCAGACAATCATCTTGTCTCTGTCAGGCTTCTAACCAAGGCAGACCTGTGAGCCAAGGAACAGGAGTCATTCACAACAAACCACTTCCTTTCAGAGATTCTCTCCATGCAGGAATTCTGAGTACAAAGAATTCAGAGGCAAAGCAAGGCCAAATAGAGGTAAATGGACTACCTAGGTGGATTGAGTTTCTTCACTCTCCTGCAGGAAGTTCACCTTAGCTGACTCTTCTTCTCAGAACACTTCACAGTTTTTCATTGGCTTTTCTTTTATAGATATAGTATTTTATGTAACATTTTTATGTTCAATACAAATTCATATTAATATAATTTTTAATATACTGACTGGCATGTAATTCCTAAAAGTATTTTACACAAAAGTAATGGCAACTTTCAAGATAAGTCATTATTTCCTCCCTTAGGCTCTTGCAATTAACCACTGTCGACATAATGTCAGATACTTCTCCATAATTTTGCCCATGATGTCAGATACTTCTCTGTACTTCTGTCCAAAACATTTTGAGTCACCCCTTGTCACAACATTTGATGACGCTAAAAAATAATGATTAGTGATCTAAGAAGAAAGAATGCACATTGTGGTTAATCACAGGTGAAGGCAAGTCATCCAAATAATACTATCTCACTAGGACATCTGGATTGCTCCCTCAGGTAAGTGTGACCTTCACCCCCTCACCTTCTGCTATCCAAAAACTTTTTTCCAGTAACAACTGCATCTTCTGCCCTTAACAGTTATCATCCTACCATTCAAAGCCCCAGATAGTATTTGGAGTAGATTCATTCTCACCCAAAAGCCTTAAAACATTTTAACTTGAGGCATTTAAAAGATACTATTTAAGTAAGTGTGGGGTTTTTTTTTAGCTAAGCACCAAGGAACTTGAATGCACTGAAGTACATGAACAAAGTTCATCAGAAAATTTCAAAGATGATACAAACCCTACTTTTCACAGTCACATACTGATGTATACACAGCACTGACTATGCTGCGATTCATTTCACTTTTCCCCCTTCGTTGGTTTGGGTGCCCCTCCTCCTTGGGAAAAGCATCATAAAGATTTAAATCTGATCATTTTCGTCAGCAATTTTAAAACACTGTTCCTCCCCACCACCAAGAGCTTCAGAGCAAGCACTTTCACACACATACTAAATATGCCCCATGCAGAAAGCGAGAAACTGGCTACCCTAGAGAATTCAGGGAAAGATGGCAACTGAGGTGCTGGATATGCTCAGCTTGGACGGGACTCCGCATCTGTGAGCATCAGCACTCCTGGCACCCGCCGTCGCAGGCACCGGGCGTGCTGCCAGACATTTACACCCGTCCCAGAGCGTGACCCGGCATCATTTGTCTCAGGTGGGGGAACAGCTGTCCCCGAGCAGTGACAGCCGCGCCCAGGCCATGGTACAGCCTTAGGTAACAAGGTTTTATTTCGCTCTCCTCTCGCGGGTTCAAGGAGCACACGCCAGAGACTCCGCAGCCACCAAATAAATCAATAAAGATTTCGAGTTTTGCCCAAGGGCTTTAAGTGCAAAACCGTAAACGGGCACGGGTGATGCCAAGTAGGAGGCGGCCCAGCCCCTCTCCTCTACAGCCGAGGCGAGGGCACAGACGCACCCCGGGGCTCCCCAGCCCCGCAGCGCTGCCGGGGACCCGCACACCAGCCCGCGGCCGGAGGGAGCCTTGCCCGGCCAGCCCACCCCGCCGGCCCCGCCTGGGCACGGGGGATAAAACCGGCGCCGGGAAGGAGAGCGAGGCCCAGCCCCCGAGGGGGACACCCCACCGGGGACACCCGCCCGGAGCCGCCCCCCTCCGCCTACCTCCAGCGTCTTCACCAGCACCCACATGTAGGCCTCGGAGATGCCCAGCGAGACGCCCAGCGCCGAGGGCAGCACGATGAGCCCGAGCACCAGCGCCAGCCACACGGCGCCCACCCGCGCCGCCACCGACAGCCACACGTCCTCCATGGCCGGACAGCCGCGCACGACGCCGCCGCCTCCCGCCGGCACCACCGCGGAGACGGGGCACCGCCTCCCGCCGGCCCTAAAGCCCCGCGGCCGCCCCCGGCCCGCCCCGCTCCGCCCGCCGGGGCCGCGGCACCGCCCCAGCGGGCAGGAGAGACGGCGGAGCGTCGGGGCGGGGGGTGTTCGCAGCCTCCCGCGCCGGGTGACTTGTCGTGAAGGGCAGCAGCGGGTGCTGCGCTCCGGCCGTGCTAGGAGCAGGGGGGATGTGCCTCGGGAGAGGGTGCTGGCGGGGCGGAGAGCGGCTGAAAACGGGGCACGGCCGCGCTGAAAACTCCTGGTGTGGGAAAAACGGCTCCCAACGGATCGGTGCTGCCGGGGCGCGCTGAGGGAAGGGAAGGGAAGGGCAGGGAAGCCGCAGGGAGAAGCCGAAAAGAGCAGCCAGGGAAGTGGAAGAGAAGAGGAAAATTAGGGAAAGCCTCTAGATCTGTGAATAGTGAATAAGGACAGCTAAAGAAGGTGAAAGGGACAAGGTCTGCACTTCAGCCTGCAGCGCGCACGGTCCGTCTGGGCTGTCTCATGCCTTGGGCTAGGAAGGGGGATTCACTCCAGCCCCCAGGGTACCACCCCACCAGACATTAGGCCATGAGAAATGGAACTTTGTGCGAAGTGGCTAGGCACAGCAGTCCTATAGCACTTGCAATTACACAATATATTCCAAAAAAGCGTTGTTAGCAGAAAGAGGCTGAAGAGGGATGGAAGCCTTGACAAAGCATCCCGGGGAAAGGGAACAACATCCTCCTCCAAGAAAAAGTCATTCAACCTTTCTGTGTGCATCTTTCATAAGTGTTTCAAAGAAATGGGATGTTGTATTTCCCTCTCCATATTCAAGAGATCAGAAATCTATCTAAGAGCCAAGTGGTTAGTATCCAAGAAAAAGCTGAATTAGAGTCCACAGCCTAAAGACTTATTTCCAGGAGAGTCATGTGGACAAGGATGTCGCATTCTGGCTCCTCTTTTTGGCTCTGGCACTACATCATCTTGGGCAAGTCTTCTCTGCTCTCAGTGTCTTGCCTCTCCTACTCTTTGCCTCATCTGGTTAGATAATTTCACTGAGGCAGAGACAGGATGATCCCTGATGAAGCCTCTAGGGACTACAAGCACAGAAACAATTGTCCAGCTAGATCTGACATTGCCAAACACAACTTCAGTGTCTTCATTTTTGTAGGTGTTTAGTTATGATCATACCCAAAAGGCCCAGTTAGGACTGAAGGCAGTAGCCTGCCTATGCCATACACACAGGAAGAGTCCCTACTCCAAAGACCTGCACTACAAGTGGTTTTCAAATATTACAGGGGTGTGTAGATCCGAGTCAATTATTAAATGCCCAAAGCCTGGAACAGAAACAATTCAGAAGAACATTAGTTTCCAATCTGGGTGATATTCATAACGCAGACACCAGTGGGTAGCTTATTTTAAATTTGTATTGTGCCTGTTGCACAGCAACAGCAGAATGTGATACAGGTCTTTTAGTACTTGCTCATGAATTTTCATCTGGGGTGCAAATGGCAGAGGCCAAAGGCTTGGTTGATTTGTTTTTATCTGGCCTTAAGGAGCAAAAGTCTCCATTCAAAGGACAGATATAGCCCAAGCAGCAACAGTGGATGCTGTCTAGATCCTGAGGAAAACAGGACAGCGTTCACAGTAATATGTCATGCAGATTTGCGTCTCCATTACATTTCAATATCTTCATTTAGATAGTAACATCTAAAATTACCATCTGAAGTAAGAATTATAATACAGATAATCCCGTGCAAGGCAAAGTGTTGCCTTGTGTGTTTGTTGAGAAAACAAACCTTGAAAATTGAAAATAATTTGTTTGACTTAGTTCATGTGCTTGTTAACCTCTGCTTTAGTAAAATGGCACAGCCTATCTCAAATTTGATGGCGTGTGGCAAATTCCTGAATCTCAGAGGGCTGAAATCCATCAGTGTACCTGAAGCAACAAAAGAAGATTCTGGAGATCTCTACTTGTAATATTCATTGCATGGAATTAAGGGGTTATTATTGCTTTTTTTTTCTGCAATAGCCCAGCTATTGGACCTACTGGCACTGTCCTCAGGCTCCATAAACAAATAGTAGGAAGGGAGCAATCTCTACCAACATTTGTGTTTTCAGAGCAGGGGGAAGGCAGCTGGTTTGATCCTTGCAGTCACTACACACTAGGGGGAAAAAAACACTGGTGAAAACATCTTTTGATGGGAGGCAGCCATCCTGTGTAAGCTGAACAGAACCAGGACAGATGCAAGACTCACAGATAAACAGAAACTCTTTATTGCATTCAGGTTTCCCCTCCATGCTTGCATGAATAATTCACAAAGCCATTAATATTACATTGGAAAAAAATAATCACTTCTGTTATTAAGCTGCTTGAAAAACCACCTTCTCTGCCTGGGACAGCAGGGAGGAAATGTGCCACCTCACCTGGCAGCCTCCTGGTGACAGAGCTGCTGGCAAAGTCCTATCATGACTGTGCTGAAGTTCAGCCTTTGCACAGATCTTGCACTCCCATCTCAGAATAGCTGACTGTTAACTGCAAAAACTGTTGACTTATTTAAAAAAAACCAAGAAGTTTGCTCTCTTTGCCAAAGGCCCTTTGCCTTCTAAATATATAGCTGTTATAAACCACTGATCACCCATCTACTGATAAATTAGTTTCAAATTAATGACATCATTACATTTTATTTGTTTGCTCTGTAACCTGTGAGGACATACAATTTCTCTGCCTCACTTTTACCAGTAAGCCTGTTTTCTTAAAAGAGGAGGACTTTTTTCTTCAAGCGCTGAGACCATACTTTCAGCATGGGTAACATAGCATGGTTCCATTAAAAGCATGGAAAAAGTGCTAGTTTTAACAATTTTCCATGCTTTCATTTTTTCAAGGCCTATTTTGTGTACAAAGGCTACATTTAGTCATGCTTGCTATAGAGTATTTTCCACTAAAAAGTGCAAATGATGAGAAGGAAACATCCCATGAGAATACATTGGAGTCTATACACTTGGAAGAAAAATATTTCATATATCCTTATTTTTCAATTTATTTCACAAAGAACAGTGCATACCAAAAAAGCTTTGGCTGAAGTTATATGCTTCATGTTTGTCTAAACCAGGTATTCCAAATGGATACAAAAGGTTTTGGGGTTTTTTTTAACTTTGTGAGAAGTTACCAACATTCTTAATTTTTGTTCTATTAACACTAGCAATAATGTATTTTTATGTCTGTAGCAAAAATACATTTATTGCCTAAATATACATGGTTTTGTGATGTAGGTGTAATGCATGACTTTAATGGGGGTTGGATTGAATCACAGACAGAGAAAAGCATCTGTAAAATTCTCATCAGTTTTACCCCACTGCTTCTGTAAATGGTTTATTTTTTTGTTCCTATGGCTATACTTATTTTATCCCACTTAATTATCAGCACATACCAAATTTTGGTGGCGTGAACCATGGCGGCAAGCTTCGTTTTCCAGGAAGGGGGAAGCCTTGTTAAACCAACTTGGGAAGAAAGCCTGGACCTCACGTGGCAGTCCGACTCTGTCTTTGCTAAGCTAGTGCATGTTATTGGCTTCTGGTAGGTCAGATTTAATAAAAAGTAGCATTTCATTTGTCTCCTGTCACAGGAGCCGGGCAACTCCAGAATATCAAATGGTTTCATCTCATGTAAATATCTGTATTGTATTGGAAATAAATAGGGTCAGAGTAGTTATCCTGGTACTCCCTTTTATCTTCTGCTGTTGAGGAATGGCAGGTAGCCAGCAAGCCACTCAGGGGAATTCTTTACTCTCTTGTCTGTCTTCTGGCTGCAAGCAGGTTATGCTTTTTCTCTACCACTGTATTTGCTATAACTCACTCTAAAAATTGATACCTTTTATACAAGGAGTCAGATGTTTTCAGCTTCACTTTGTATCCAGGAACCTAAGTGGAATTTTACCATCTGCTGTCATGGACCTCCAGTTCTTATTACACTGAAAATAAATACAAGTAGTTTGGCTTCTATGCACCCTATAAGCCCAGCACTGTGTATTGACAGAGCTGCAGCCTTGTATGTTGTCTCCAGCAGTAATGAAGGCTTGACACAGCACACAGGCATGCCCCCACCTCAAACAACCTAATTTCCATAATTTAGAAATTTAGGTTTCTAGGAGTTCAGCAATCCACCCACAATTCAAACCCTGTTAAAAGCCCTGAGTTTACTTACTCCTTATGATGAATGGGAAAATATGACAAAATGGAGGGGATCCTAGCTAGACCAGCTAATAGGAAACACACTGTGCTGGAGGCAACTGCAGGCCACAGGAACTGCATGCGTGTTCCACACAACCTTGAGCATCTCAGGTGTGCCTATGGTGAGATGACTCAGTGAGAAACTGAGTCTTTAATGCTGGGGAGTAAGAGAGAAAAGAGAGATCTTCACTAATGCAATGGTCACATGAATAAATCCCAGTGCAGCACCCAACACTTTTCATTTGGAGGCCCTAAGCACAGGTTTTGTGGTCATTTGGCCTCCCATCTACAGCAGGATTTTATCACTTGGAGCATAACAGCTGAGATTCCTTGTTAGTCTTGGAATCAGGACCATGAGACCTTTCTAGCAAGCCCTATGCTTGCACATTTTTCAGTGGGACATCTCAGAGCTTGTTCTTGCAAGCTGCTAAAGATGCTGGCCTTTATACAGCAAAATATGTAAGTGTACACTTAAAGCTTGGTTCTGCAGTGAGAGAGGAGCGTCAGGATTCAGCAACGCTCTTCCCTTTGTGACCTTAACAGCATCTGACCAAAAGACGAAGAAACCTTCACCCTGGCATTTACATGGAAGGAGCTTTGTGAGTATATGAGTGGTTCTGTGGGTCAAGCACAGGAGGAGATGCAGACACCATCTTCAGAGCAAAAATGGTACAAACAACCTGGCAGATGTGTTAGAATCTGTGGCATCAACACAAGGATGGCACCCCCTTTTGCTGTCCACCATGACCTGAGGCCTGGCAGCCTGGCTTTCTACTGCATTTGGAGAGATGAAAAGTGAAGGAAAAAACATATATAT